TGGAATTCAAGCCATGGAATGTTTTCAAAATGGCGATGACAGTGCGTACACGAAAAAGTTTTGCACGAGTACTTTGAGAATAAGGATCTGTCGCACGTGCCATCGGAAAAAAAAAGTTGGGAATCGCGAATTCCACAGTGTCTGGTATCATAAAACGGTTCGAAAAACGTCAGACTGTTGATCGGAAGCGAAGATCCAGAAAAAAAGCCGTCTGGTCAACGAGAATGATCACAAACGCGTGGTTGGGGCCTTTAAAAGGAAACCGAACGCCTCAGTTCGAGTTGTGGCTAAAAAGTTGCATGTGAGCAAGACTTTCGTGCAGAATACCAAAACTCGAGCTGAACTACGTACGTTTAAGGTTCAGAAGTCCCCAAACCGTGACGAGAAACAGAATAGGGTTGCAAAAAGTCGTGCCCGGAAGTTGTACGACCAGAATGTGAAGGCGGACTTCAACCAGATTACAGGAAACCTGTATGTGACTGCCAAAGATTAGTATGATGTTCCCGAGAATCTTCGGACACAGAAGATGTCGAAGTTCACCAAGAAGTTCTCAATTTGGCAAGCGATTTGTACTTGCGGAAAGCGAAGTACACCTTTCGTTACCGCAAGCACCATGAATGGACAGGTGTATTTGGAGGAGTGTCTCCAATAGCGGCTTCTCCCTCTCCTGAAGACTAACGACGGTCCGACGAACTTCTGGCCGGATTTGGCATCATGCCACTACAAGAAGGACGTGCTATAGTGGTATAAGGCGAATGATGTCGAATTCGTGCCGAAAGATCTGAACCCCCCAAACACTCCTGAGCTGCGATCAATAGAAAAATACTGGGCCATTCTGAAGGAGCACCTTCTAAAACGACCTAAAGTGGTGAAGAATGTAGGAGAAATGACGAAAGCATGAATTAATATGCAAAAAACTGTCGATTCTGAGATCGTGCAGAACCTTATGGATGGAGTTAAGAGCAAGGTTCGCGCATACTAAAGGAGGGGTAATGGCTGACTCGCCACATGTAGGCTACATGATCGCCATGGGAAGGGATAATGATTAGATTGAGGTGGGTGATTGGATGTTTTTTTGGATTGAGATGGCCACGATACTACAAAATAATATGGAATGTGTAAGCTGAAAATAGTTCGAAATTAGTCTAATTTAATAAATAATTGAAATCTCTAATTCACCTAATCAATCATAACCCATGTTTTATTAAGTACCTGCACTTGTGCTTGTAATCTAGTGTTTCAAGTACTTTTGATTTTGACCTATACCTATTTATTATATCTTAGTTCGACTCAAGTAAGACCTTCAAGTGACTAAAATGCTTCACTTTGAAGTTAGTTTCCTAGCTGATTTTAATTATATAGGGTATATGCTCCAACTACACTGACACGTTTCCACTATGTCGTCCCACAAAATTACGTATGGATATATCACAATAGAAGCACGTCACAGTGGAAATCCCGAGCCATAGTTCAAACATTTATCCCAAATCAAAATGAAGCACATATAAGATTAATTACAATACCATGTACAAAAATGGTATTTAATATTGTTCCCTGAGTAATACCTCAATGAAAACAACAATGAAAGCTTGTCACGCAAATAGAAGGAGCATCAATGTGCACTTTCTGAAATATTTCAATAGTATAATTCCCTTGCAAACAAAATAAATCTATCTGCGTAAAAAAAAATAAGAGTGATTTACGGCAAAACCCGCCAGTATCACACCCAACGTCAGTGCCTATATGTAAGCGTACTACGACGCGGCTCTCAATCAAAGAAGTAACAAGTGTGATACTATCACTGCTAGACTAGGTCTTTGGTTCTCTCATGCAGTGGTTTATCAGAAAGGGGAAGCTTAGTAATCCCCATTGCCTGCCCATTAGACTGATGCAAATTTTGACATTTTCGCTCCACAGTGCTCAAACGGTTCCAAATCGGGTCCTGATAAGTCTCCCAATGTTTGAACTCCTTTGATAAGAAACTGACTTGGCACAAACCATTTGAAGTTTATATGGAAATTAGTATGGGAAATCCAAACTTTTTGTTTGGATTGTCTTCTTACCTTTTTCCATATTGCACTGTTCAAAAATTTAAAGCTATACTTATGGAAAATTTTCTCAGCTACAACTTAGCAGAATATAGTTTTTGAGCCAAACGTCAAATAAAATTGTTATTAATTGTTTAAGAGATTGATAATCTTATAGCATGATCAAGCAGCTGTTTTGTGAGCAACACTGTTTCTTGCAGTGTGACATAGTAGCCATGATTTTTGTACTGTATTCTAAGCGCCAGAAACACCAATGTTGCCTGCTTAACAGTTGATTGAGCATAATCATAAGACATTAGTGGCTTGAATTATATTGAACTTTTGATGCTAACATTATATTGAAAAGTGGTCTTGGACAAAGTTGTAGCTGAGAAAATTTGCTGCGAGCTCAGTTATCATTTTTTAAAGCAGAGCGATATGGTAAATTGTTAGATGGATACGAACAAAACATTTGGGTTTCCCATAGTAATTTCCATATAAACTTTAAATGGTTTGTGCCAAGTCAGTTTCTTATCGAATGAGTTCAAATTTTGGGAGGCTAGTCAGAACCCGATTTTGAACCGTATGAGCACTGTGGAGCGAAAATGTCAAAATTTGCATCAGTCTACTGCCCATGGCGCCATTCTATCGCGGCATGAGCCAGCTATGCCGGCCATAAACCTACCGTCTCCAACACTCCACTATAAAGCATGAAATCAAGCCCGCCCATCAACAGCAAGGTGCAAAAACTAGCCAAGGGGAGGGGTCATTGCAATCAGTTGATTAACATGCACATTTTCAATTCAAAATGCATTCCAATCTTCCCGCTCGGTTGATCCAAGTGTGTCACGTTCACCATCTAATTGGCACAACCTGTCATTGGTTGGACATTTGATTTATTATGCAATTTTCACTACAGCCTAGTTATTAGTTCCTACTTGAAATACGTAAATAAACATAGTTTGTGGCTGATAATCTTCGATTCCGAGAACTCTGAATGCAATGGTAGCGCACAGCCATGACATTCAAGTGGCACCATTTTCATAGTGCGATTTAAGCAAAGTCAAGTGTGTTTGATTACGAAGCGTCGAGCTTGATTCCTGTTTGTCTAGTGCCATTTTCAGACTATAGAGTTGCAATGTGTGATAAGCAGCTTTTGTGGTACAAGAACAGTTACGAAACATTGTTTTAATATAACTAAAACCGCTTATAACACTTGGCGAATCTCAGTTCTATTTTTTGACGTAGGATTACGTCTTTCGGCATCATATTGGGGGTGCAATTTCAATAAACCAAAATCGACCGCGATACGAAAAATGGTCAGGTTTTGGCACCTTGTAACTCTGTCAATAGCGGATGGATTTTAATTCTAAACAAGTCAATCGATTAGAATACTTTCTACAAATCTGCTAAAATGAACACTTTATCGATTTTCAATAGGTAACTATTGAAAATAACACAAATGTCCAACTGTTGCAATGGTGATCAAAATTATCACCGATTTCCTGCAAAAAGCACTTTCCCTAACACAGATTTTAAAATCGAATTCGTACCTTTTCGTCGCCTCTACGTGTGTACCTGTGGAATAGATCCTACTCTCGACTAGTAGTTGAAAATATCTCAATCATACAAAAATATGATCTTGATATCCAAAAATGATAGGCATTAGCACGACATAAGTGGTAAAATATCAAGAAATAATATCTGAAATTTGTTTCTGCAATATCGTTCCAATAGCAAATTAAGCAATTACGGTTTCAAATCAATAACAAAGTACTAAAGTTTACATGCAATCAAAGTTTTTTGTTACTTCATACGTGAAGTTTACGATCTTTGGAGTTGGGAGGAAATGCTATACTGATTTTTTAGTGCAATAATTGATTAGCTAGAGCAGTGGCGTCGCCCTAACCTCAATCTACCTGTTCAACAACTCTCAAAACGTAAACAAACAAAACAATATTGGTTTCAATAGATACAAATCAGTGAAACTAGAAGATCCTATGCCTTTTGAAACTGTTTTGAATGTAAACATGACCCTAAATAACGTTTTCAAAGTTGTTGAACAGGTAAAAAGTGAGGTTACGCGACGCCACTGAGCTAGAGATAGTTCTGAAGAGGGTAGGTTGATAGTTCCACTAGAGAACGGAAGTTTGAAAATTGAACAGAAGTTGAAATTGAGCGAACGGCCATTAATGTTTTTTTTTTTTTTCCTTTATTATAGAGATTTTTAGCCATAGGCTAGTTCATCTCTTAACACGGCCATTAATGCGACAATACCAACCAAATGAGCACTCCTTCACCTAACTCATACTTTGATGGTTGAGGGGAATCGACGTACGTCTTCAAATCCACAGGCAAAAGAGTTCGTGTTTGACTTGCTCATATACTGTCTGCGGCTGTGGAAACACTTTGATTGAATGTAGTTCAAGGCGGAGAAATTTTTAACAGTGCAAATAAAAATAAGACTAAATGGCAATGAACAAAAAGTTTGGATTTCCCATAGTCACTTCCATACAATCTTCAAATGGTTGGTGCCAAGTCAGTTGCTTACCAAATGAGTCCATTTTTTGAGAGGCCGATTTAAAACCGTTTGAGCACTTTGCAGCGAAAATTTTAAATTTTGCGTCAGTCTACTTTGCGGCTTAGGGTGCTTGCACGGTAATGCTATTATTTTTGGATCTATCGTTGAATTTTAGGCTTTAAAATTGTGTGGTGTTGACTGAAAGTTAATTATCGTGTCACCGAACTGAAAAATCCAACTACACTGCCTGCTTGGATGAAGGTTACGTATAGCAGTTTTTGTTTTTTGCCCGTTTGCTAATTGCATTGCTGTGACGTAACTTATTCGGTGCAGTTAGCGAACACGATTGCAATGCGAAAATGTGAAATAAAGGTTCCATAATTGAGTTATGGTTGATTGCTCATATAACATTTTAAAATAAGGACACAATTGGACCGTCTAAAAAAACTAACCTTAACATCGCCAAACATTTCGTGCAAATCATGGCTGCCGCTGCCTAGCGCCAAGTGGTACAGAATATCCTGGTCCATGAGTTCGATGTTGGGATTCCGCAGCCTGACTGAGCTGTCGTTGTATCTGAAAGTGTGAGGAAAATAGCGTAAACATTTAATTATAATCCGCAGAATCCCATTATATAGGCATTGGAAGGGTTGACATTTTTCGACACATCATGGTGGTGGGTGGTGGCAAAGAATAAAGGTCGTTTCGCCGGAGGGTTCCCGTCCAAGTTTCCCAGCATTAAATTGGTTATTTCATGCTGCTTGTTCCCAGAAAGTCGACAGAAAGGTTCACAGCTTGAAACCAAATGCCGGGATTTATGTTTACTTTTCTCGGTTTTCCGATTCTTCTTTCCCGTATCCCTTTTCTGACCATAAATTCTTGCTGCGGAAAAGTTTGTCCTCTGTTGAACTCTATCGATTGCAAAATGTTTTGCATTCATCACAGTAGGCTCTGATTGTTAACATTCGAACGAAATTTGAATCAGCTGAACTCTGAAATAAGTACAGTAGGCCTCCGTACGCATTTGAACGGAGCGCAAAGGGATGATACATACTCAGTAGGCCACAGGCCACTGACCTACCCGTCGGAACACACGCAGTTTCACTTTCACAGGATGTGCTACTACAATCAATTTAAATATTGATGATATAAAACCCACTTCATCATTCATCCGGTCCGTTCGTGACTCCTCATGGCTATTTACGGACCACCCACTGACTGGGATGGAGAGGAGGAAATGTATCCCGCCTATTTTTATCACTTTGGGTTCCGGATCCCGCATTATGAGCTGAATTCAATTAATCTATCTCTCCAACAGGGAGCTTCACAATACAATCAAGTTTGGTAAAGGCATCGGCACCGACAGACAGGCAAACAGAAGCTTATACAGACAGAGAAGTCCATTGTAAGAAGTCTGATTACTGCATGATTAGTATATTTTACTAAATCGCATAAATTTACATGATACAGCGACACGAGCTCTGTACAGGAATTTAGAGAGGGACACTGACTGAATGCACTTCATATCGATTCGTTTGCTTATAATGAGCCTGATTCAATTTTACCGCGAAAGCAATCACCCCCTGGCGACCGTCAATCGCTGATCAAATTTTCTAAACCATTGATCCAGCTATGCCAAATATCAATTAACACTCCCAAGGGGTGACACAATTACGTTGATTCGTTGGCCATGCTACTGTTCCTATTCGCTTCTAATCTAGTGCCCAGTCAGTGCCAGCAGTAAGTGCGGGATGAAATCCTCGTGAACATGGAGCGGCGCCAGTTGGACAGCGCAAAAAAAGAAGATGAAATTGATACGCATGAATGCATTTAGTCTAGGTGGCCACTCCCTGATGGAAACGGCGCGGACAATTAGGGATACTAGCGAAGACAACATATTAAGAAGTTTGGCAACTTAACCAGAATCTTGAGCGAAGGTGGACGCACACATGGAATCTGCGTCGACCGACCTGGCAGAACGCGCCCTAAACCAAAGGGCAGGGAAGTGAAAAGGCGAGGAGAATTACTACAAAATCCAGGTAAACGTCCTAAAGGAGTTCTGACCAGGATTCCACAATAATTCTGCAAAAATGTCCTAAGGAGTTGTAAGATAAATTCATAGAAATTTCTGGACAGAAGAAAGGAAACTCTAAATTGAATTCCAAGATAATTCTTAGAATAATTCCATGGTTTTTGAAAAGTACTTCAAGGAGAACCTCTAGGTGATTCTGAGTAAAATTGTATGGGGATCATGAGAGGAATAGGGCGAACCAACCGATGGCTGAAGGCCTTATAAAAAAAGAAAAAAGAGAAGAATAGCAAGTGAACATTAAGGATATTTAAAACATTTTTTTTTTGACTAGAATAAAAAAATAAATAAACCGTATTTTGAAACGTGTTCTGAGGATAATTTCAAAAGGGTTAGACTCAAGAGGATTCCTACGGCGAGTTTTGATTCAAATGTTGAGAAATTTTTGAAAGGAATTGAATTCAACGTATAGACAGATAAGCAAATACACACACCTCTCTTCTGGGGTTGGAATCATTGCTATAAAATTCGTTCGGAGCATTTACCTTTGAGCCTTGTCTAACAGCGGACGTATGAGAAAACAGAAGTGTTGTCGGTCTTCTTGATATGTTGTCTTCGATACTAGGTTAGATCGGTACTCATTCTCCGTCACTAAACTTCGTCGTTACCGTCGACGGCGAGACACAAAGTAGATGCGTAGTACACCGACCCATGACAAAATGTTTTCATTAAAAGTTTGGATGAGTATACTTATTTTTTCTTTTGCGTGTTAGGTACTTTGAAATTGATCTGTTGACTTGTTTAGCTCGTGATTCCTTGGAAAGTTTTATGTACTGTTCGACGTGCATCGAAGACACATCTTACAAATCTCTTCTTGATATTATCGATAGCAATAACTTATTGGCCAGTGAATTTTCATTGTAAAATTCCAGGTTTTTGTCATGGTTTTCCCGGTACAAATCTACAAGAAATCAAATTTTTGAAGTTATTTGTGGGTAAACATTCAGTAGCAAAACTAGAGCAAGCAATTTTTTACCGTTGAAGGTATATCCAACCAAATGGGCCACTTGATATATTCCAAAATAAACCATTTGTCTTAACGATAATGTTTGCATGAACGTTGTACAGTCATCCCAAAATTAAGGGTCGGCAAATAATAAATTATGATTCAGTCAGCCCAGTGTCTTAGTCAACTGAAAACGGTCCATAGCTAAGAAGATATTATATAAAAGATACAAAAAGCCAATATTACTTTCGAGATTCTTTGAATAATCACTTCTGTATACTCCAGACCTCATGTTTTCAAGGCCCTAAAATTTACTGAGAAACAAAGCCGTTGTCACTAAACCGAACATCAGTAAACCAAATTGACTCGACCTCGGCCTTCCCGGATTTGCATAATTGTGTGTTGATAATCAAATTGCAAAAATTCAGCCATTTCATTGGGTACGAAAGCGACCCCCATGGCTTCGTACCACTAAAGGACAACATTTGAATAGTGGCACGAAGCTAGATCCGGCCAGAAGATCGTAGGGCCCCGTATTGCTTCAACAGAGGAAGCAGGCGCTTCTGTAGACACTCCTTGAGGTAGATCTCCTCGTTTACAGTCCCGGTAGTCACAAACGGTGCACTCCGTTTGCCACATGATCAGATCGCTTGTCAAATCATGTATATCTTGGCAAACTTTGAAAGTTTCTGCCACCTTACTTCCTCCGGAACATCAAACTTTTGCTGGGCGGTGAAGAACAGTAGTCCCGGAAGCTGCCGGAAGTCCGCCTTGACGTAAGTCTCATCATCCATGATGAGACAATGAGGCTTCGTCAGCATCTGGGTGTACAGTATCCGGGCCCGTGACTTTCCCACCGTATTTTGCCGTTCGTCATGATTTGAAGCCTTCTGCACTTTGTACGCATGCAGTCCCTACCGGTACTTGGCTCTCTGAACAAAAGACTTGGACATATTCAACTTTTTGGCCACATCCCTGACCGAAGCATTGGGATTCCGCTTAAACGCTTTCACGACACGCATGTGATCCTGAGCACTAATAGAACATCCATTCGGACCGCATTTCTCCTTTCGTTCGATGCTCAGGGTTTCGTAGTAACGTTTTATCACACGACTCACCGTTGACTGCACGATTCCGAGTTGTTTTACGATGTCCCGATGAGAGAGTTGAGGATTTTCCAGGTGCTTGCGCAACTTTTTCCAACTCTCGAAAAACTGACAGCGATAAAAATACAATGTAAACAATGCACTCTAAACTACTTCTACCCAAATTTTCAAGAGGAAATACCCAATGGGTAATTTTCTACAGCTTTTGTTCAGTGATGCAATTTGATGAAGGAAACCCTTTATCTCTAAAAGTAAGCGGCGGTCAATTTTTGGCAAGGTTATATTGGTTTACTTTTTTCTAGGTTCAAAAATGGTACGGTACTACCGGAGCAGATTTACAGAAATGCCTACAAAAAGTCAGAACTGAAAAAATGTTCCACACAGAAGCTGCGATAAAACTCAATTATAGCCGGCAATCTATTTACAACAAGCTGAGGGGATCGCACCAAAAGCTTCCCGGCCATCGAAAGATATTTACAGAAGCGGAAGAAGCATCATTTTCGAACCATTTGTGTACTTTGTACAAGTGGGGCTTTCCCGTAGGAACCGACGATTCTCGGGAGGTTGTGCGTATCTATTTGACGAAGCAGAATCGAAATGCTCCAGCGTTCGTAAACAACAAACCTTGGCGGGACTGGATGGCACGCTTCCTTTCGTGATCACCAGGTACTGAGTAAACGTTGTGTCCAAAACAAAAAATTAAGCCAAGCAGGGATAACAGGGATACTTCCAACATCTTCAATTACGATGAGACAAATCTGTCGGATGATCCGGCTAACAAGCGTGGCATACATACATATTCGTTATCTGCATTAAAAATGGAACCGACATCCATAATTTCATCAACTGGAACTATTTTAAATAAGTACGATTACATTAGCAAAAATCACCATCTTAGCGCCCCTTGGTGGGACTTTGTATGGCAGCGAGCTGTCAACGAATACATTTAGTGTCAACGATCAAAACTTTAAATCTTGATTTTAAAATCGGGATGAATGTCTATGGGATCGATAAGAATATCGTTGTGCTCAGAAAACGAAGCTCTATCAGATTATGTATAAAAATCGTTATATTTTTTCGAAGTGTGCTAGTCGGATTTGCCACCAAAAAGGCATAATACTCCTCTGCCTTCCATGCCTATGAAGCGAGAATGACGAAAGATTTTAGCTTCTCGTGAGGGTTCTAAGGATACAATAGAGTCGCTGTATAATGAGTCACGCCAAGAGAAAAACAGTTGAACTCGCATCACGGTTTTCGAAAGATTCCCTTTCTTTTCACTTGGCAACAGAGGACTTCTACATCAACTTCAAATGACTTCTAGCGAGAAAAAAAATAGCGGCTGTAGTAAATCATTATATCAGTGATTTTGTCAAATTATCTTATCAAAAAATAGTAGAAATTCCTAGAGAAATTCTCATTACTGATCATTACCAAA